GCTCCGGTGGCCTAGTGGTTAGAGCGTCCGCCTCGGATCCGGGAGGTTGTGAGTTCGATCTCCGTTTGAGTCATACCAAAAGACTTACAAAAATGGTACTAACAGTTACCTCGCTTGGCGCTCAGCATTAAGAGGTTAGTGTTAGGACTGGTTGGTCTGGTGTCAGGATAATGTGACTGGGTGGGACATCATGCTACATGTCTGCGGCATGATGCCCCAGTGCTAGACATCGCTATAAACTGCCACACTGCAGACATAGTAGCGATATGACTGAAAAATTGTTAAAGCTACGTAAAAATCATAATCACATCACATCACATCACTCTACTGTGGTGTGTCTCTAGAATAGAAACTTTATTCCGACTTGGCATACTCATTTATATCCCTTCCTGAGATACCACAACTGCACACTGAAATACTTGATAAAAAATTGTTGTTTAGATTTATTTAGAATTTGGGAGCTTGGTTGTCTTCAAAAAATATTGTTAAAAATCTAAGATATTTAGAATTATAGATTTTTTTTAGGAGTTCAAATGTTATGGTTGAGAAAATCAATTAAACACGGAAATAAAAGAATGTCTTTTTTGTTATTTTCCTTAATATATTTATCTTTCGATCGTGTTAATCGAGCTAATGAGTTTTGGATAAATGTACAAGAAGTATTGCAAGTATTTGTGAAGAAAATTAAAATTATACAGTTGTAAAGGTTGTATTCACATGAATATAGAATAATTCAAATATATTAGCGTCACAAAAGGTTTTCCTTTAGGACTCTGATGAAAACGCCATCCATGCTATTATGGACCTAGTTGCTTTTATTATTTGCTTTGAGTTAAGAAATATATATGAATAAAAAAACATTTAGATTTTATGTCTGCGATACGGAAATTTCCAAGTTTAAAAGATTCAGTTGGAATGGCAATAATGATAATTCAAAAACATAACAAATATTATATAGTACGTAATAATGTTTATTTATTATATATTTTTGAAAAAAAGAAGTGGTGCATAATTTGTATAATTTTATTGCTAACTAAAACTAATTAATTCGAGTCTGCGCCAAGGAGATTAAAATATCTCATTCAGATAAAATGCTTTTTTTTTTGGTTATTTTGGTCACTTCAGAGAAACGAATTTAGCAGATTTAGGCCATTAAAATATTGCCTAAACTTTTTTTTTTTTTTTTACAAATTGATGTTTTCACAAAACCATTATACTAAATAAAGATAAATATAACTTATGTAAATTAGAGAAAGATAAAGTGTACATTTATTATTTAAATGTAAAAAGTTGATCATTAATGAAGTAAAAATATTAACTGAACCACAGTTTTAAAGATTAATTAGAAAGTTGACAAAATTATAATATTTAGAGATGATTATTCAAAAATGTTGTTTACTTTTTTACTATTGGTCTAACTTTATCTGATGAAAATAATAGTTCAGTAGTTTTAACCAGTTGAATAAAAGTGCTTGTACACCTAATCCGATATTTATACATATTGTAATTCATTTAGTTTTAAAGTACCGTAGTCCTTATAATTGGGGTATAATACATTTAGTATTAAAGTACCGTAGTCCTTATAATTGGGGTATAGTACAATTAGAATTAAAGTACCGTAGTCCTTATAATTGGGGTATAGTACATTTAGAATTAAAGTACCGTAGTCCTAATAATGGGGGTATAGTACATTTAGTATTAAAGTACCGTAGTCCTAATAATTGGGGTATAGTACATTTAGTATTAAAGTACCGTAGTCCTTATAATGGGGTGTGTTTGTGTGTGTGTGCTTCATATATAAAGTTTAATGTATCTTCTAAGTTAAAACAGAACGCAAACATATTTTCCCAACACCAATACCTTTTTTTTGCTGTTAAACTTTTAGTCTAAAAATTCTAAATACCTACTAAAATGCCATTGTTTTTATGTCAAGGGTGAATAAAGGGAGCATACAAAATAAATTAAGACTTTGAGTTTACAATGATTTTAGACAGATATGTATCACTGGATTTTTTTTACTACCGTGTAGACAATAGGCGAAGGACAAATGATTGAGCATGTTGTAATCAAAGAAGAAATTGTTAGTACGTCGAACATTTCTGTGTGACATGGATGACTGAGGTTAAATAAACGAAAGCAAGGACTTCACTTTAATTTGTACTTTTTTTGGAAGACCTGCGAAGCATACATGCACAAAAGGTTGTATATTTTCTTTGCACTCAACCATCTGCAAATGTCCTGTGCAACACTGAATCTAGTGATACCCTGGTCAAAGTATTGTAGTCAAAGCATGTGAATACAGAGGTGTGTAATCCTCCTTGTCAGATATATAGTACAGAAAAGAATCAGGACAATCCACACGATAGTACAACGATTTCAATGACTGTTCCTATAAGCACTTTTAGTTGTCATTGAAACCTATATTTTCTGCTGTTTCTGGCAGCACCAAAATCTGACAATGGCTGTAATTATCATTGCTTCCACCCCAAAATGCAATTATTATTAATTAAATGTGTCGGTGGTTTCACATATTGATATGTCAGTAAGGTCTTCTCTTTGTTTGGTATATTGTGTCAGCCTATAACTTCAATGCCGCGTATTTTATTTTGAAATCAGTTTTGCCAGTTTATTTTACAATCCTTTAGCTTAATTTTCCCAATGTACCTTTTATTCAACGAAACTTTACGCCCTTTTCCAGATAGTTGAACAACTCTCTCTCTCTCTCTCTCTCTCTCTCTCTCTCTCTCTCTCTCTCTCTCTCTCTCTCTCTCTCTCTCTCTCTCTCTCTCTCTCTCTCTCTCTCTCTCTCTCTCCTTTCCCAAATATAATGTCATCAAGCACTTCCGATTTAGTGTGTTAACTTTAAAACACCTCCCCCTGAGATGAAGCCAAGACATCGTGTGTAAGGTGTAAAATGTGTAAGGTGTAAAATGTGTAAAGTGTAAAATGTGCAAGGTGTAAAATGTGTAAGGTGTAAAATGTGTAAGGTGTAAAATGTGTAAGGTGTAAAATGTTCTGCGAGGTAAAGAAAAGCAAATTGTAAAGAGAAAACGTGTAACCAAGAAAGCCTGCATCCACAATCTAGGGATGAAACCAGTTATTCTACGCAGAGTTGCTACAACGCTGTCCAAACTGCCATCCTTATCCCAGTCGCATCCATAACATATTATGAATCACGAGCTGAATTAAAACCGAAATGATCATTTTATGTCCGTTGATTATTTTAAGGGTTTAAGATGCTTTTATGTTGCTTAAACATTTAAAGTGTTCAAGATGATTATATACCTCTTGACCTTGCAAGCTGGTTATTTAAAATGGTTAAAATAATGTTATATATGTTGATAATTCAAAAGACTTTATGATAATATTGCCTATTGACCACTTAAAAGTGCTTAAGATAATGCTGTATGTTGACCACTTAAACGTTTCTAAGATAATATTGGTTAATGACCATTTTTAAGCTTTTAAGATAGTTTTACATACACTGACGATTTAAAGTGTCTAAGGTAATTTTATAAGTATGTTGGCCTTTTGAAAAATCGTTGATAATATTTTGTCTAGTAACCATTTAAAGTGTTTAAAAAATAATGTCTATTGACTATTTAAAGTATTTAAGATAATAGTATGTCTATTGACTATTTAAAGTCTTTAAGATAATAGTATGTCTATTGACTATTGAAAGTGGTTAAGATAATAGTATGTCTATTGACTATTTAAAGTGTTTAAGATAATAGTATGTCTATTGATTATTTAAAGTGTTTAAGATAATAGTATGTCTATTGACCATTTAAAGTGTTTAAGAAAATAGTATGTCTATTGACCATTTAAAGTATTTAAGATAATAGTATGTCTATTGACTATTTAAAGTGTTTCCTACAATAATATATCTCTTTGGCCATTTAAATTCTTCTAGCTGAATTTCTGCTAATAGATCATTTCACGTGTGTAAGATAATAATATGCTTATTGACCGTTTAAAGTGTTTAAAATAATATTATGCACATTTACCGTTTAAAATAAGTACACTAACTCTATTGAAATTTAAAAAAGTTTCAGATAATGATAATTTTGTGTCCGTTGACCATTAAAAGTGTTACGATAATAGTATGTCTATTGATCTTTAAAAGTGTCACGATAATAGTATGTCTATTGACCATTAAAAGTGCTAAGATAACAGTACGTCAATTGACCATTAAAAGTGTTAAGATAATATTTTATACTGAATATTTTGTTAGACTGATTTCTGTCAAAAACAAATGTATTGATTACAAATAGAAGATATCCCCTACACTGTAAGAGTTCATCAGCGTGTATCTCCCTTCAACTTAAGAGTTCAGCTAAGTACATCCCCTACAATGCAAAAGTTGATCTGCGTGTATCCCCATTCAACTCAAAAGAGTAAAACTGAGTACATCCCTCTATTATATAAGAGTTGATCTGCGTGTATCCCCTTCAACTTAAAAGAGTTCAGCTGAGTACATCTCTCTCTCTCTCTCTCTCTCTCTCTCTCTCTCTCTCTCTCTCTCTCTCTCTCTCTCTCTCTCTCTCTCTCTCTCTCTCTCTCTCTCTCTCTCTCTCTCTCTCTCTCTGTATATTAATTATTTGTGCGTAACAATACTTACAAGAATAATGCTAATTTTCAGTAAGAAGTCAGAAGTCTATGTCACTTATGCCTTCTTTAATCGTATACAAGCTATAGTTGTTATATACAGGTTTTATGTATCTGACACAGACATTGATGGAAATTATTTCTGTTTGACCTATGTCACTTTTTTCACTTATACGATTTCAAGGAATGTCCGTCTGATCACGCTGTATTTTAGCATAAGCGAAATTAAGGGGAACCGTGGCTTAAAACGAAGGAATGAGACGTGAAATTTAGATTTTATCTCATTAACTTTTGTGAGTTTCAAGTGTTTATGATAAACAATATCTAATATCAGACACGTAAAAATAGCTACGGACTTTTGACCTAATGAGTTTTAGTTCATTATGTTTCTTACTAAAAGTGACATATCCGATTTTCCTCATGACGTAGACTTTCCTAGCGACTCTCCATGCTTATAGTTCATTA